TACATTTGCCAGTAGTATTTGTGTAAAATATATTGAAGTATTTTTCCAGTATATATTAAGATTAATCTGACTTTCTTCTATTAATAATAAAATATTGTTAAAATGTCTTAACAAAATACATTAATTAAGGATTTATGAGGCTGGCATTTTTATATTTCTTGTAGGCAAAGAATGGAACACCTCCTCTCTATACTTTGGAAGAGAATATGAAGATAACAGAGTCAATCATGGATTCTATTGCAGGTAGGCAAACATTTTTTTTTTAATTCCTTATTGCATTATACACAAACCCTTAAAGCCTAAGTGACATTCCTGTACATTCACTTAGGCGACCCCGGGTGACTTTCCTTAACAAAGGAACAAGACATTAAATATGTAGCTAGGCTCCTCTGTAATCATTTGCTTTGTCAACATATGGCAACTTGTTGCATTGCTGGTCAGACAAACTTTCCTTGGTTTCAAATAGTAATTTATTTTATTTTGTTGTGGCCATTATGGTACAGTCGTGAAATTTGTGTTCAATTTAGGTTTCACCCATCCTTTATTTTACAGCCACCTCAACAGAGCTTCTCCACATCATTGATATCTGGCAATCATCCCATTTTATATATATATATAATATATATATATACAGTAGTACCCCGCTTAACGCGGTCAATAAAACCCACAGGGTACCGTGTTAAGTGAAAACCGCGCTAAGTGAACAACAGAACATATGGGATTAATTCCAATAGAAACTGGCCCGACCCCCAAACTCCACTTTTCCGACACAATACCTATGTTCTAGTAAAATAACATCTTAATTTTATGATGGTACATGCACACAATTAATACTTAAGAGAAATAGAGAAATACAGTCGCCAAGTTAATGTCCATTCAAATAATGACCTCGACTCTCCCCCTCTTCTCACACTACACTGCTGGCTCTTCCCTCTCTGAGAAATTTTGGGGAAACCACTAAATTTTAATAAATAATAACTCAAACTAAAGTTAGGATAATGCAAGTGACATTGCTGGATTCCTTGTAAGACCAGGAATATTTTGAATATAAATGTCATATATTTTGCACAAAAGATAACATATTTACTCAGAGTAAACATTATATCTAAAATTTGTATGTCTAATGCAAAATCTATGATGTTTATATTCAAAATGATCATCATATTGTAAGAATTCCAGCAATGTAAATTATATTCTGGCCGGGTAATTTGTATGAATTTTATGAGCTAAAACAGGCAGTCAGGCAGGTGGCAGGTGGGTGAATCTAAAATAGCTCGAGACACACACTGCCGTGATAATGGAAAACCCTCAAGTGAAAGTTCATCTGGCGAGGCACCGCGTATACGTGAAATCGCGCTAAGCGTAAACCGCGGTAAGCGGGTATTGTGTGTGTATATATATATATATATAATATATATAATATATGTATATATATATTATATATATATATATATATATATATATATATTATATATGTATGTATGTATATATATATATATATATAATATATATATGTATATATATATATATATATATATATATTATATATATATATATATTATTATATATATATATATATATAAATTTTTTTTTACATATTGTACTGGTATTGATTTTGAAGTTGATTTGTTGCCAGGTGGTTACATTATAGTAGGATAGTTTTCCAAATAGAGGTGGTAGGGGAAGGGAATAATGTAATTGAAGCACTTGCCATAGATGGCCTTCCCTGTGGATCTAGTGGCCTGAGATATTTATTTGCTTATGCAATTATAGTTCTTTAAATAAATAAAAAATAGCTTGATAATTTAAGGTATTTATAAAATGGCGTACTGGTGGTTACTTGCAACATATACTGTATGATGTCAAATAGTAAAGTTATTTTTACCCGTCTGAAAAATCCTGTATAATGATGGAGTGATACAAAGGAAAGAAAAGCCAAAGATGTACACAGCATGAATTTAACTTTATCTTTTCTAATATAATATACTACTGTAGTACTGTACTGTATATCATTTTCCAGAGTTTGTTAGCCTAACGTGTGTGACTGGGATTATATTTTATAATGTCCCTTAAGAGCCAGAAATTATAAGAAAATCTTTCCAGTAAGCTGTCATTCATAAAAAGGGGGTAACATCAAGAAGCATATTTTGGCAAGGATAAAGTATTATTCAAAATTTTGCATGGTTTTCTTTGAGACATTTTATGTTATAATTTTGCATGCAGATGAAGGAAAAGCAAATTAATTATAGGAAAAAATCCCAAAACTATCTATTGTACTGCATATATATACAGTTAGATTTAGTGCCCCCTAAACCATGTGTGTAGATAGCCTCCCCTTCCAAAGCTTCATCAGTGACTAGCTCAGGTGAACATGGGCTACTAGGTTTGTAAGGCTTTCACTAGCAAATGTATGGGGGATGTCAAATCATCCAGGAAGGCCCTATGTTGGGACCATGTAACACACACTTCTATATTTATGATGGTGGATCTTTTTTTCTTTCTTTCTTAATTTTTATTCGTTTCGTTCTTTCTTTCCATCTTCTGGTGCTGAGAACATAGATAATGGAGTTCAGCATGGTGCCATCTTATATGTAACTGTTCTGTATTTACTTTTTGTATTATATTCAAAATGCCTTGGCTACAATTTTCCCACTCCAAACAGGCAAAGGACACTATCGAATCTACTCGCTAGATAAACTGTTCATGCACATGTACCGCAGCTCTCCCCGAGTATCCTATTCCACAATCAGTTGCAAAGGAGATGTTGACTCAGTGCGGCTTAGATTATCATCCAGATCTTGCTTGTGGGGTATGTTAACTTTATTTTTTTTTGTAGTTTACTGATATTTTTGATACTTGGTAAGGTGTTCAAGTGTGGTTCATATTAAACCAAACCCCTTAATAGAAATTGTAGGGATTCCTGGGCAAAACCTTGTTTATTACAACTCTTCTGTACTTTAATCTTTTTGGAAACACATCACTCATTAACAAGCCCATTCCATAGCCATTAACACATTGTGTGTGAATTCCCTTATCATTTTGTATAAGTCCTCCAAAAGTGCATGATAATTCTCTTAGAAAAACTAATGCATGCAGGCAGAGTATTTTGATATACATATAGGTATTATTTTTTGTAGATTTTTTTGATATTGGTTTCTCTAAGTTTTGCAAACCAGCAGGGACACTACCTCTGCCAACTGCCTAGCAACACTCCCCTAACCACAGTGCACCCTCCTCCCACTCACCCACTGAGCCAACTAACTCGTGTACAAAGAAATGTACAGCCGTCTCTCGATTTACACGGTAGTTACGTTCTTGAGGATAGTTGTGTAAATCAAATTTAATTTTCCCAAAAGAAATAAAGAAAATGGCAGGGGTCAGGAGTAACCCTCCATAAAAACTGCAATTTGTTTATCTATTTTCTTCAATATGTTTTATTTACAATAATATAATAAAAATAATAATAATACAGTAGTAAGAAAATAGATTTTAAATTAAAATTTGTGCTAACACTTACGTTGAATGATGGCTGGGATGGCGTAGGGAACTGGTGGTGGTGGAGGAGGAGAGGTGGGGATTACTGAGAGGGAGTCATCTGAATCAGGTGATGGGGGAGAAGTGGGAGCTTTCAAGTTGCCAGATGTCAATGTCTGAGGTTCAGGTGATTTTACTTCTTCCTATTTTGCAAAGTTGGAAAGTAATGAAGTACTGAACTATGCTGCCTGGTGCAATGGCATCTTTCTCAAAACCATGCTATTTAAAAAGTGTTATTTTAAAAATAGGTATTAATTTATTACTAGTGTTATTTCTAAAATGTGCAAATTAAATCCGTGTAAATCGAGAGGTGGTTGTATACTGTATTCCCTTTGTGTTTGTGCCATAAGACAATTATTTATTTTACTCTTTTTCACAATATGTATGTAGGATGGTGTATGCTTACTTCCCACTCATAATCAACAACATTTAACAGCCATTTTTTCAGCTTATGCAAATAAATTTCTTATAAAGTTATTATGCTTTTCTTCTCTTTTTACATTGACTTTGCACACACACACAAAATTTACTACTAATGTTGTGTCCATCATCAAAGAATGTTTAATTTCAGTGGCATCAAAAATACCAGAAAGATGCTGGGAAATACTGCTCCCTCATGTGCACGTCGATGGGTGTTTCTGATGTGTGATAACATTAACGTCGAGAAGACATTTGAAGTGGTTCCACAAGTGGGGAAACATCTCCCTCAAGAATTTGGTATTTATGGTGTGGTGGTGAACATACCTAATGATTATCTTGAGGTAACTGTAATATCCTTATTTAGTAGTGTGGGTAGAATATTTGTAATTTTTGACAGCAAACGACAAAGAGAAACAGGGTTTTCCAGGTTCTGCAAAAGGTGATAGGCCAAAAAGAAATGTTAGGTAATAAGTGAAAGGCTTAGAATCAGTAATGCCTAAAGGGTAATATAAACAGTTGTGGCCGTACTTGTTTGAAAATGAAAGTGTCTGATGAAATTCAAGGGAGTTGTCTCTGGAATATGATAAATTAGAAGAAGTTGGGTATGGGGGATGGCTTATTTAATTTTTTATGAGTGTAACACTGCATATGCCCTAGGGAGTTGATTCTTTGAAAATTTAGAGTAAAAAGCACTGAAAAAAATTTTTCGACATCAGTATTCTGTAAACACGGGATGTGGCTTGCAAGAGCTAAAAAAAAAATAATAATAATTGCTAATGTAAACATGAAAAGCCTGCCCATTACTACGAGTAGATGAATTTTGAGTGGTAAAGGAGGAGTTTGGGGACTTCGTTGAATTATGTGATATTTTATAGGTGTGGTAAATTAGAAAAAAAAAAGAATACACGGTTAATGTTGGAGTGCTAAAATACTGTTTTTAATATGAAATAGTTTCAGTTGCAAGGTGCATAAAATGTGTATGAGGAGTGTGGCTGTAAAGTGCTACTTAAGAAATAGTATAATTAGCAATAGATATTATTTGTAAAATTTACTTTTAGGTTCGTCAAGAAAGAAAACATATCAGATGAATAACTCTGGGGGTCCTGTTGCCAAAGATGATAGTAACGATGGTGATAATTCAAGCTTCTCCTTTGTGTACACCAACAAAGTAAGTGCCCTTCTGTGTTATCTTTTTAGGGGCCTACATTAAGGACATGAATACTCTGCCTATGGTAATAGTGTCCCAGTGACCATTTATTTGTCAATATATTTTTTTTTCTCTTGAGTTTAAGTAGACAAACTGTGTGGCGTGGAGTTAGCCTGTCTTGGTCTGGCTGTAGGTCCATTCACGTGAAATAAATTCACCATTTCATTGTAATTCTTTGTCTCAATCTCACAATTTATCAAGGGTCTACTCAGTCGACTCTACTGTATATATTAACACCTAATGATGTGCCTTGCTAGGGTCATGATTGTAGAATCAAAATCAGAAATTAAGGACAGATTCTCTTTAAATGTGTTCCTGTCTGCTTTATGACTGTATATTGCACTGATTGGCGATATGCTTTTGTGTTTATTGCCTTATAGCCAGGCAGCTTTCTTAATATTGGGCAGATAACAAGGTCTTTCTTGAGTCTCTAAACAGAGCCCCTTCCCCCTTTACTGCCAGCATCAAATGATGGGAAATGTGTTGAGACTTCTACTCTTACTACTGCACTACTACTAAAACTTCAACACAATACTTTTACTACTACTTGTACTACACTATCTACCACTGCTACTACATTTAATACTACTACTATATTAATACTGTACCTGGTTCCTTCCCACGATGGGGGGATGGATGAGGGTAACAGATCAAACATATGTAGCATTGTTCTGCAAAAGTTAATAAACCTTAGAAAGGGCTTTATTACATTGCAGCAAAATAAACACTACCTACAGTACAAGGTGAAACAGTTCAAGAGCCCTCCACCGTGGCATTATGTTTACCCAATATGGTCACTCACAGTAGCTGACACATGCAGATATATTTGCATCTCACAGTTTTATCCTTTTTTTTTTCTTCAGTCTAGAAAGATTCTACATCCTCTACCTTTAGCTCATTACTTTCTGATTTCTTACTTTACTTTTATCCTCTTCACCACTGATCGGCTCGTTAGCAGGCGATCAGTCATGTCTCTGTTACGCTCTGTTGGCAAGTACTGGGCTTGCACCGGCTCCTGAATGTACCTGAACCTGTATATGCCAAGGCATGTAACTGGTTTTGTATCACATGAATGTACTGTACAGTATTCAAGTGTTCATAGGATTTCTAAAAAATTTAGTGCAATGAATGTCAGGAAAGTAGTACATTTGTTTTTTAAATACATATTTACTGTATAATCTAGAAAGTACCGGTAAATCTTAGATAAGGTTTGTGTGTTTTCATTTTGTATGTTTTTTTTTAAAGAATGTAACGTGATGCTTATTACTACCACAGAATTTCTTTGAATTTCACTTTATTGATCAAAAGCTGAACATATGCAGCATATATAAAGTTTGAAAGTTACAAATGGTATTCTTCCTTTATTTCAACAACAGAAGAAACCAGTCAGGCAAATTTCACCTGTTCGAACTGAAAGTTCTTGGACCAAAAAAGGTGATGCCAGGGGTGCATTATCCTCTACCTTCTCATTAGGATCTCGCTCAACAGAAATTGATACATCATGTGAAGAGAATTTTCCAGCCCTTGGTGCTTGTGGGTCTATAAAAGGTAGGTAATAGAAGTGTATATATATTTCCATCATCTTCTGGTCTAGGGACACTATATCCTCTATATTCCCAGCATCTTCTGGTCTAGGAACACTATATCCTCTATATTTCCATCATCTTCTGGTCTAGGGACACTATATCCTCTATATTCCATCATCTTCTGGTCTAGGGACACTATATCCTCTATATTTCCATCATCTTCTGGTCTAGGAACACTATATCCTCTATATTCCCATCATCTTCTGATCTGGACACTATATCCTCTATATTCGCATCTTCTGATCTAGGGACACTATATCCTCTATATTCCCAGCATCTTCTGGTCTAGGGACACTATATCCTCTATATTAGCATCTTCTGATCTAGGGACACTATATCCTCTATATTTCCATCATCTTCTGGTCTACTCCAGCATCTTCTGGTCTAGGAACACTATATCTCTATATTCCCAGCATCTTCTGGTCTAGGGACACTATATCCTCTATATTTCCATCATCTTCTGGTCTAGGGACACTATATCCTCTATATTTCCATCATCTTCTGGTCTAGGAACACTATATCCTCTATATTCAGCATCTTCTGGTCTAGGGACACTATATATATATTCCCAGCATCTTCTGATCTAGGGACACTATCCTCTATTTTTCCATCATCTTCTGGTCTAGGACACTATATACTCTATATTCCCATCATCTTCTGGTTCGAACACTATATCCTCTATATTTCCATCATCTTCTGGTCTAAGAACACTATATCCTCTATATTCCCAGCATCTTCTGGTCTAGGGACACTATATCCTCTATATTTCCATCATCTTCTGGTCTAGGGACACTATATCTCTATATTTCCATCTTCTGGTCTAGGGACACTATATCCTCTATATTCCCAGCATCTTCTGATCTAGGGACACTATATCCTCTATATTTCCATCATCTTCTGGTCTAGGGACACTATATCCTCTATATTTCCATCATCTTCTGGTCTAGGGACACTATATCCTCTATATTCCCAGCATCTTCTGATTAGGACACTATATCCTATATTTCCATCATCTTCTGGTCTAGGAACACTATATCCTCTTATATTCCCATCATCTTCTGGTCTAGGAACACTATATCCTCTATATTCCCATCATCTTCTGATCTAGGGACACTATATCCTCTATATTCCCATCATCTTCTGGTCTAGGGACACTATATCCTCTATATTCCCATCATCTTCTGGTCTAGGGACACTATATCCTCTATATTCCCATCATCTTCTGGTCTAGGAACACTATATCCTCTATATTCCCATCATCTTCTGATCTAGGGACACTATATTCTCTATATTCCCATCATCTTCTGGTCTAGGGACACTATATCCTCTATATTCCCATCATCTTCTGATCTAGGGACACTATATTCTCTATATTCCCATCATCTTCTGGTCTAGGAACACTATATCCTCTATATTCCCATCATCTTCTGATCTAGGGCACTATATCCTCTATATTCCCAGCATCTTCTGGTCTGAGAACACATATTCCCATCATCTTCTGGTCTAGGAACACTATATCCTCTATATTCCCATCATCTTCTGATCTAGGGACACTATATCCTCTATATTCCCATCATCTTCTGGTCTAGGGACACTATATCCTCTATATTCCCATCATCTTCTGGTCTAGGGACACTATATCCTCTATATTCCCATCATCTTCTGGTCTAGGGACACTATATCCTCTATATTTCCATCATCTTCTGGTCTAGGGACACTATATTCTCTATATTCCCAGCATCTTCTGGTCTAGGGACACTATATCCTCTATATTCCATCATCTTCTGGTCTAGGGACACTATATCCTCTATATTCCCATCATCTTCTGATCTAGGGACACTATATCCTCTATATTCCCATCATCTTCTGGTCTAGGGACACTATATCCTCTATATTTCCATCATCTTCTGGTCTAGGGACACTATATCCTCTATATTCCCAGCATCTTCTGGTCTAGGGACACTATATCCTCTATATTCCCAGCATCTTCTGGTCTAGGGACACTATATCCTCTATATTCCCAGCATCTTCTGATCTAGGGACACTATATCCTCTATATTTCCATCATCTTCTGGTCTAGGGACACTATATCCTCTATATTCCCAGCATCTTCTGGTCTAGGGACACTATATCCTCTATATTTCCATCATCTTCTGGTCTAGGGACACTATATCCTCTATATTTCCATCATCTTCTGGTCTAGGGACACTATATCCTCTATATTCCCAGCATCTTCTGATCTAGGGACACTATATCCTCTATATTTCCATCATCTTCTGGTCTAGGGACACTATATCCTCTATATTCCCAGCATCTTCTGGTCTAGGAACACTATATACTCTATATTTCCATCATCTTCTGGTCTAGGGACACTATATCCTCTATATTTCCATCATCTTCTGGTCTAGGGACACTATATCCTCTATATTTCCATCATCTTCTGGTCTAGGGACACTATATCCTCTATATTCCCAGCATCTTCTGGTCTAGGAACACTATATCCTCTATATTTCCATCATCTTCTGGTCTAGGGACACTATATCCTCTATATTCCCAGCATCTTCTGGTCTAGGAACACTATATACTCTGTATTCCCATCGTCTTCTGATCTGGGCACACTATACACTGGACCCTTGCTTTATGCACATTCACAAAATGCGAGTTTGCATTTATGCTGCAACCCTATTTCTACCCCGTAATTCATTTTATGCATAAATGATTCCTTATTATGCATTTTGTAGAAGATATGGCACACTAGTTTTATATATTATATTATCTTTATTTCTAAGTCACATTAGAGTATTTTATGATCTTCAACTTTTTTAGCATTAATGCCCCAGAAATGGTTGTGAAATGTGGCAGTGTGTGTGTGTGTGTGTACACTGCGGCTCTGTATGTAACATCACAGTACTTGGCTGGAGTGGTGAGTAAGCCACACTCCACACACTTTCACCACAACACCCATGCTCTTCATGTCGTAGTTTATAGTTTTATGTTATATTATATTTATTTCTAAGCCACATCAGAGCATTGTAATGATATTTCCACAACTTTTATGACTTTACTGTTGACTTTTAGTAGTTGTGGAACATATATGTGAATTCCCATTATGCTGTGTTGTGTCGTAATACAACCACAGCATAAAGCGAGGGTCAGGTGTATCCTCTATATTTCCATCATCAGTTTCACATTCTGAATGAAATGTTAATTTTTTGTTCGGTAGTATCCCCAGTAGTCCAAGGTTCAGTTACACAAAGATTCTAGAAACTAATTTTGGCTCCCATTTGAAATTAAGAAAGCTTATTTAATAAAGGTACTGTCTCGGTATTTCAAACATTAGTGTGGACGTTACTTCTGCACTATACCATGTGTATGCCAATTTGGTAAGGGTTCTTATATACCGTACTCTGTGTTTTCACTACAAACCCAAGAAAATCTATCCCCACTATTCTGATCAGCATGTCTTATTGTAAAAAAATATATTACCTGTACTCTTTGGAACAGGTGCAGTTAAAAAGTCCAGCTGCCAACTGACACCTTTTGGAGGACCAGTAAAAGGAGTTAAACTTGATGCTATGCCTGAAGTTGCTGATATGCCTGCAGTTGCTGATCTTAAACTTGATGATAAGTCTGAATTTGGTAAGATTATTTTTTTTTCTTGCCAGGTATTAACCGAATCCACCAGGCCCTCCTTTCCATGTATCGTATCATGTTGTTCAATCAAACATAGCATTCTATCATGAGTCATAATATAGTAAAATCATGCATTAACAGGCTGTCATACATGGGGGGGAGGGCTTATGGGAAATGAAATATGTTCCTTGCAAATCCTTTGAGTATAAATATACGAGTATAAACAGAAGCAAGAAGTAACCAGGTATTATATGATCAGAAGTCAGTTTTGTTTTGTCTCTTGAGAGCCCTAAATGATTATTGTACAGCATGCCCTGACAAATGTTGATTTTTAATTCACATATGACACCCTGGATGCACCCAAGAATGTCTAAGGGTAGTTTTAAAGTTGCTGGCATTTTTGCGGTTGGGACAGGAAGCCATTCGTTTGGAGACAGTAATTTCTTTTACCTGTACAGTATTGTATGTGTGTGTAGACACATACAAATAAATAATAATTAGAAAATCTTCTCACAAATAATCAGAAACAAGACAACAAAATGCATTAAAAATATTAATCTGCCCCCAAATCAACTCCGTGCTTTGTTATAACTTTAATAACAAAGCACAGAGTTGACTTAAGGTAGACTTTCATTTTTAATACATTTTTTTTTCTTGTTTCTGATTAATTGTGAGAGGATTTTCCCATTATACAGATAAAAGAAATAATTGTCCTATGGGCAAACACGTAAAGGGAATATACATTTTTTTGCTCGTGAGTAGAAATGTACCCCTCCCCCCTGGTAAGCAAATGTTATTCACAGATTTGGCTATTCGCGGTCATTTTGGGAACCTAATCCCTGCGAATTTTAAGGGCATGCTGTAGTATTATATTTGAGGATGTGCAATAAACGGGAGCCTAAAAATACATAGGAATAAAGTCTGAGCATTGCATCCTAAAATAAAGTAACAAATTAGGGTTCTCAAAAAAAAAAAAAAAAATCCTGTGCGTATAAAAATAAATGAGAATTAGAAAGCATGTGAAGAATGTAAAACTAATAAGAGAGTTAGTGACAGGATCAGACCACTGCCTGGTGATTGCAAAATTTGAAATAAGAATGAAATGTGTATACAAGCCAAAAATGCAAGGAGAATACAGTAAAGCCTCCGATAACAACGGTTCGACCAACAACTTTTCATATTTAAGACCCTAGTTAATTTAGGACCCGATTCAATTTACGTCCTTATTTCATTCGTATTTACGACCAAAATATAATACAAAAAATAAAATTATATTTTCATATAAATAATAACTAAATCCCTATATGTATTAGTACAAAAAAAATAAATAAAAAATTAATGTAAAAAAAAATGAAGAGTGCCTTGCACAAAGAAACTGCCTGGCTAATGAGTGGTAATGACATCGCCAGCAAACAACAGTCGGAGCTTGGCAGTCCATTTGTTTTCACACATCTGAACAGGAGAAAAACTTCCTCAGGTTTCTTACAGCAGTTTTGCATCCCTATTCAACATGAGCAAGAGAGCAAGTGATGGTAGTGTTTCAAAAGCTAATAGAAAGTGTATAAGCTTAGCTGAGAAACTAGATGTGTTAAAACGATATGAAAAAGGTGAGAGGTCTGTGGATATTATATGGAACAAGCAAAGAACATATTTTCTGAATTGGATCCATTAACAGAACAAAGCATTAAAATTTAAATAAACGCAAATGACCTCTACGTAAAGATGTATAATGAGAAAAGAAAGCAGCTGTGCAAGGTTCTTTTAGACAGCTTTATTATTCGAAGGCCTAAACCACCAACTTCAGCATCATAAGCAGCTTCAACATCAACTTCTGGTTCAGTAACAGTTTCAGCAACAGCTTTATGGAAAGTTACAGCTTCAGCCACAGTTAAAACTGATGACTGCGTCATCTGAGTAATAACTCGCACAATATTCATTGGCTGTCCTTATGTTTTAGACTTTACCACAATTGGTGAGTAGAATTTTTGTTTTACATTCGAAAATATTATTTAAAACCTATATGAAAAGTAAATAAGTGTTGCTTTCATATGTAGAGAAATGACAATTGTTATATGTACGCACTTACTGTATACATACGTTGGCATTCCCAATCGCCTCTCTTTATTTCTTTACCATTAGTGGTTAGCTACTTCTAGTGTTCCATTTATGAACATTAAATAACATTACTTAAGACATACATACAGGTATTCAATTTTTTTACATTAAGTTCACTACAGCTACAACCAGGGTCTTATTTTCTTCAGTTTCTTATGTAGAACCATCGTCACTCACGAAAACTATGCCGTCTTGTCTCCTCATGTGTGTTTTAATATTCTACCTATTATTGATGAATTGCATTGTTCATTCCACATATATAAACTTTATTTCAATCAGATACATAGTCAGTAATAAACAATAATGAATCTTTTGTACATATTCTTGAGATAAATGACTGTGTTTCCTTGAGTGCGCACATATACATTGGCGTTCCACTATCAGTCTCACGTTTTTCTTTAATATCAGTGGTTACTTCTACTGTACATTAAATAACATTAATTAAAACATACATTTCTTTTAAATTGATTTTACTACATCAACCAGGGTCTAATTTTCTTCACTTTCAGGTGGATAACTGGCATTATGGGTGTAAACACTGACAACAATGCCGTCTCTTATCCTCTTGTGTGTTTTAATATTCTATGTATTATTAATGAATTGTATTATTCATTTTGCGTATATAAAGATTAATTCAATCAAATACATATTTAGTAATAAGTAATAATGAATCTTCTGTACATATTCTTAAAAAGATAAATGACGTGGTATCCTTAAATGCGCACTTATATGTTGCCATTCTCAATCCATCTCACTTTTTTTTTTTTTTTTACCATTAGTGGCTAGCTACCTAATTTCAATTTCAATTGTTTATTCCTTGATAGAGGAAGCGGGATCCTAGTGCTGTCACTAGGTACCCCTGTACAATGACACCAGAAGCATCTGGCAAGTGTGACAAGTATATACAGTATAAATATTATAAAGGGGCTTACTAAAGCCTAAGGAAGGAAGGATATTCCTTTAACACATAATCAACATTATTTACAAAATATCTGGCCAGTATGGGGAGGATCATCGTGTCTCCATCGGGGTCGTGGAGTGGTGGTCCAGCAGGCGTCACGGAAGCGTTGTGTGTGGGGACATCTTAGGAGGTAGTGGATAAGGGTGCTGCTGTCGGGTCTTCTGCATAATGCACAAGAGGGCTAGCTACTTCTATTGTTCTATTTAATAACATTAAATAACATTACTTAAAACATATATTCATTTTTTTTTACGTTAATTTTACTACAGCTACAACCAGGGTCTTATTCTTCATTTTCTCGTGTAGAACTATCGTCCCGGACTCCCGGCTGTAAACACAAACGAAAACAATGGTGTCTCATCTCTTGTGTGACCATATTATTCATTTATATTGTATAAGGTACATTCAGAAACATTATTTAAAGAATAGAGTTTGCAATTATCATTAATTGTATTGTTTTTGGGGGGGAAAGAGGGTAAAAAGCCACACAAAAGATATGAATAGGTCACACTTGGAAATGCATTTCACTATTATTGCTTTATTTTAATGGTAATTAATGATTCGCAATACGATGATTCACCTTACACTGCAATATTGGAGGACACATAACTGTTGTTATTCGAGGCTTTACTGTACTCTACTGTGTAAACCCATGAGGATCTATCCCCATTATTCATATTTATTTTGAGATTTGGTGGGACGTGGAGTTATGTTCAACGGATCAGCATGTCTTATTGTAAAAACATATACTGAATTACCTGTTCTCTTTGGAACAGGTGTATGGGGAGTTTCAGCTAACGAGTTCAGCAACCCGCTGATGACTTTTGGAAGAGCAGGAAGAAAAGTTAAACTTGAGGATATGTCTGAAGTTGGTAAGATTAATTAGGTTTTTTGTTTTCCACCAAGTAATAGCTGAATCAATCAGGTCCTCCTTCACGTGTATCGTATCATGATAGTGTCAAAAATCGCATTCTATCATGAGCTGTACTAATACAGTAAAATCGTGCATTAACAGCCATCCAGATTTTTTATGCATACAATATAGTATTTTTATTTTGACATCTTGTCTTTGGAAGCCGTGATAATTATTAAATAAAGTCACAAATTGTCTGTGGAAGGTAAGTAATGCACACACAAGTGGTATAGAAGTACAACTGGCTTGTAAACAAAGCAGCTGCTGGGTGGCGTTTGCAGATATCCATTCTGATTTTCCATCCGGATTTTTTTTTCGGTTAATCCGGATTTCTTCTGGAAATTAGCTTTATCTGGAATATCGTTTAATCAGTACTGAATTTCCCCCAAATTAATTTGGATTAATCGTTTGGTATTTGTTACACATATACCCATGCTTGTTGGTAATTACAGGGCGTCTCGAAAGTCTCTCTCCAGTTTTAACCCTTAGGCCTCGGGTGACGTTCCAGAACGTTCGGCTATTCTCCACCCCCCCCCCCCCTTTTATGTTGATTTTTTTTTCTCGATTTAACCCCGTGTGGGGGGTACTGCCAGCAACATCTTAACCCGGGGCTTAAGGGTTAAATATTTATGACGAAAAAACCAAAAGGGATATTGCAATACAGTTTGCTGCATCATATTCCTTAGTCAATAGTTTTTTCTTTACAGGTGCAGTTTAAATGACCTCGACATGTGCACCCTCTGTGGTTCTAAGCACATCCAGCCGATACTCAATTTCTCTCCGAGTGTGGCTTGCTTCTCTGGGGTTGCCATGCCTATTGCTTCGGTTATTCATAGACCTAGGATTGCAACGTCGGCTACAGGTGTTTTGTAGACACAATCCTTTACATAACCCCACAAGATTAAATCTAGTAGTGTGATATATGGAGAGCGTGGATGGGTCCATCCCGACCAATCAAGTATTGGCTGGATGTGCTTAGAGCCACAGAGGGTGCACATGTCGAGGGCATTTAAACTGCACCTGTAAAGAAAAACTATTAACTAAGGAATATGCTGCAGCAAACTGTATTACAATATCCCTTTTGTGTTTTTAGGAATGAATATTTAAAACTGGGAAGAGACTTTCGGGACACCCTATATTTCCATTTTAAAGTAACATCAATGGAATTCAACCCCTCGATTATGCTGTAGTACTTGTGTGAACTGATACCCTAATAGTTTTACTTTAAAAAAATCTGCTTATACATGAGCATAAAATAATGGCAGATTTTTATTTGTTTTGGTTTGGTTTTGGACTTAATGGTCTTGGCTGTATCACTGCTATCTAGGTAACTTTGTACGACATATTTGCCATAAAATAGTATTTTTACCTCATCTTTCAATTTGCAGAAATATTTGTAAATGAAACATTCTGCAGATTAAGTGTTGTAAAAGATGCTGAAATTTTGATTGGTTTAGATTAAATGAATGTAAGGTCAAGATGCATAACCTCTCTGTAAAATACTGTACGTATATTTTATTAGGGTAGTTAACAGGAAAAAATTTTCAGTGAGGGACAAAATTTCGCTCCAGTGGTGAAACTGTCGTGGGAATGAGTCTGAACTTACTAACCCAGATTGTCATGGGTGTACTGTTTTAGCTCATTTGGGGTTGATGCTGCTTTTCAGTTTGGGTGGGAGTGAACTTTTGGCCCTGACTACTTGAAAAGTCCTAAAGAATAAATGAATGGTTGAGGATAAGCTAGATAAATGTGTCAATTTGTGGAGACCTACAAAGTTCCTGGAAGTTCTGGTAAATTTAAAAGCAAATAATTTTCTTATAGATATTTTGAAGCTATCTGAAAGAAAAGGATTGTATTACAGTACTGTACTACTTTAATAAGCTCTCTTGAATCCTCAGGTCGTGGCCAGAAGTCCCCAAACCAAAGGTCAAAGAGAGGAGGACTATGAAGCTTTATCTAAATGTGACCCAAGATACTGAAGAATAGTTGAATTAACCTGCTTACTTTTAAAACTAATTTTCTTTTATCACTGCACTCTATACCATTACTGTATTAAATTTTTAGTTGTTAGAAACAAATTTTTATTTGTAGTACAGTTCTTAAGGAAACTGCACTAGTTAAGGATAGCGTAAGTTTTTTATTGTTAGATATGTCAGTATGTAAGTGCAGATAGTACATGTAGAAATTAACACGGATTGAAAAATAGCATGATTCTGTTTGGTACTGTATAGTACAGGTTGTACCTCTCTAGTCCGGCATTCTGTGGTCCGGAACGATTTTAGTTTGTCCAATAGGCAGGTTTTTTTTTTTACTTATCTGAATTATTATTATTATTATTACAGGAGTTTTAAATTTTTGCCCCTCAGGCCCCAATGTGGGTCGGTGACCTATGCCCAGGTGGGCTAATCCCCGTAAAAAAAAAAAACAAAGCCGCGGGAAATTAAGGTTTGTTTACATCCGGCAGTTCGGCTGCTCTCTCTTTCTCTCTCTCTCTGCTTGTCTATACAGAGTACAACATTTAACCCTTCAATATATATGAGCAGTAAATAAGTGTTGCTTTCATATTCTTATGTAGAAAAATGACGATATGTTTTCACACGTGTGCACTTACATACGTGCAGTCTCACTTTTTTTTTTTTACCATTAATGGTTAGCTACTTATATTGTTCCATTTATTAACATTAAATAACATTACAGGTACTTCAAACAACCATATTAATTTTTTTTACATTAATTTTACTACAGCTACAATCAGGGTCATATTTTCTTCAGTTTTATATGTAGAAGCAATCAGTCACTGGTTTTGTAAGCTTTAACATAAACAATGCCGGCAGCCGTGTCGTCTCCTCATTATTAATAAATTGTATTGTTAATTTTACACACACAAACATTAATTCAATAAAAACAAATTCAGAAACATTAATTAAAATATATATGAACAGTAAATAAGTGTTGCTTTCATATTCTTATGTAAAGTAATGACGATATGTTTTCACGTGTGTGCACTTACATACGCAATCTCTCTTTTTTCTTTACCATTATCGTTAGCTACTTCTATTGTTCCATTTATTAACATTAAATAACATTACTTAAAACAACCATATTAATTTTACTACACCTACAACCATGGTCTTATTTTCTTCAGTTTTATATGTAGAACCAGTCAGTCACTGTCATTTCCTCGTGTGTTTTAATATTCTACATATTATTAATGAATTGTATTGCTCATTTTGCACACAAACATTAATTCAATAAAAAAGACATTCAGTAATAAACAATAATGAATCTTTTGTACATGAGAAATGACGCTGTTTACACGCTTATGCATGTTGGCGGGCCGTTCAAACCCTTCGAAATTCAAGTTTCCGCCGTCAAAATTTTTATTTATTTTTTTTTGTGTTCCAATAAAATACATTGAATTAAAAACTCGCGAAATTTGAGAAGCTACTATACGACATTTACCCCTTCAATATGTCTTCAAAGAGACCATGATGCAGAGAAAGTGGTGCTAGTGCTTCCAAGCATAAGCACAAGTCAATATCTATCCAGGAAAAGGGTGAATTTCCATGGTCCGGCACCGGTCAGGTCACGAGGTTGCCGGACTAGAAAGGTTCAACCTGTATAATGTTTTATTTAAGCAGTATCTTAAAAGCTTTAAAATGGTAAATTGGTCTGTGCTTTGATGTATGAAACTTTTTAGCTTTTTTTGTCATGCTTCCATATATTTCATGGCATATTTTGAATGTTAAGTATAGTACTTCAAATTTCATGAAGTTGCAACCTTCGAGGACTCTATTCTCCTTTGTATAAATTTAAGGCAATAATTCTTTTGTTATAATAATTTTTGCAATGTATAATTGTAATATGAATTTACAAGAAAAACATGCCTCTATCTGAATACTGCATTATATTAATATACAGGTTGCAACCTCGGGACCTGACCGGTGCCGGACCATGGAAATTCACCCTTTTCCTGGATAGATAGTGAATTGTGCTTATGCCTGGAAGCACTAGCACCACTTTCTCTGCGTCATGGTCTCTTTGAAGACATATTGAAGGGTTAAATGTCGTATAGTAGCTTCTCAAATTTCGCGAGTTTTTAATTCTTAACGTATTTTATTGAAACACAAAAAAATAAATAAATAAAAATTTTGACGGCGGAAACTTGAATTTCGACGGGTTTGAACGGCCCGCCAACGTGCATAATCGTGTAAACAGCGTCATTTCTCTTATGTACAAAAGATTCATTATTGTTTATTACTGAATGTCTTTTTTATCGAATTAATGTTTGTGTGCAAAATGAGCAATAAAATTCATTAATAATACGTAGAATATTAAAACACACGAGGAAATGACACAACATTGTTTTCGTTGATTACAAAACCAGTGACTGACTGGTTCTACATATAAAACTGAAGAAAATAAGACCTTGGTTGTAGCTGTAGTAAAATTAATATGGTTGTTTTAAGTAATGTTATTTAATGTTAATAAATGGAACAATAGAAGTAGCTAACGATAATGGTAAGAGATATATGAAAGTGCTGCATATCGACCATTACATAAGAATATGGCACAACACTGTTCATCAATATTTTAATGACTGAAATTGTTTTATTGAATTAATATACGTGTGTGCAAAATTAACAATTTAATAATAATAAATGGGAATATTAGAGGAGGCGGGCGGCTGCGGCATTGTTTATGTTGAAGCTTACGAACCAGTGACTACTGGTTCTACATATAAAACCGGAAGAAAACTAAACACGAGTTTAGCTTGTAAAATTAATGTAAAAAATGAATATGATTGCTGAAGTACCTGTAATGTTATTTAATGTTAATAAATGGAACAATATAGTAACTAACCATTAATGTTAAAAAAAAGTGAGACTGCCAAACATCGAATAAGAAATTTACCATCTACCTCTACATAAGAATATGAAAGCAACATTATTTACTGCTCTATTGAAGGGTTAAATACTCTGTATAGACAAGCGAGAAGGCGACTGCGGGATAAACAAACCTTAATTTCCAGCGGCTTTAAGGGATTAGCCCGCGGATAGGTCGCCACATTGGGGCCTGAGGGCAAAAAATTAACTACTAATAATAATAATAATAATTCAGAAGAAAAAGCTGCGTATCTACCTATTGGACAAACTAAAATCGTTCCGGACCACAGAATGCCGGACTAGAGAGGTACAACCTGTATTATTACAAGCTTTCTTGGATTATACTGATGAGGTTATTTTACTCAAGTTTTATGGTAAGTCCAGCACTGTACACTGATTAAATAATTTAAGAATTACTTTACATTAAATTGTGTGTAAGAATATTTGCTAAATTTTTGGAAACAAAGTAGACCAAGGAGAGCTGAAATGAGAATGGCGAGGTGGTTGTGCAATGTGACACTGAAAGACAGCAGGCCGTGCAGCATGTTAAGGTGGTATCAGGTAACCACAGTTAACCCATGGAAAATTACCATAAAATGAAACCCCAACTTCTATAATAGTTTATAAATGTTAGTTTTTGTTGTTTTTCTATTATGCTCAAGTTGAAGTAAATATATAACTCCACAATCATACATATTTTACTGTACTTGAGCAATTAATCATTTGTGTTGATTAAATTTTGTGGCAGTGTCTCATTAGTAGTTTTTCTGTAGTAATTCATTAAAAATATAAGAAATTTTATTGATATTTTTATAGCCTAAGTACAGCATGTTGTACAGAGCAGGTTATGAAGGTTTGGATTGTTGAAAAGGCTGTCAAAAAAGTGCATGGGGAATGATACAGTAAAAACCCCATAATTTGAAATAATAGGGGCTCTACCCTTTATGAATTATGAGGAACACCTCCTGAGGGAAAACAATGGTGCTTTTCTGTTATCTGCCTTAATCAAAATGTGAATATTTCTAAGTACAGTACCAGATTTAGGGTTATCAGACATAATGGCTCAAACTGGGCAATGATGGAAAAACAAGTGATAAAAGCTCGTGCGGTAGGCCATGGATATGCACTCCATGACTGACCAACACGTGTATACTAGTTTACAGTAAAGCAGGCGGTCGAACTAATGGTGACGTGCGTCATACATGCTGCATTTGTTAATGTGTGTAATCGAAATTATACCAAATATGAAAATTTTAATATATTTCTTAATAAAAAAACATTACAAGTTAAGAGTAATTTCGAATTAGGGGTGTAAAATTATGGCGCTTTACTGTACTGTATTTTAAAGTACTACCCTTCCTCAAAAAATCACAGGTCCCAGTTTTATACAGAAATCATGTAATAATCTCTAAATATGAACATGCTCAAACATTGTGCCCTATACCTTCCATGCATCACCCAGTGCTGAATGCCCATGTGTTTTGTGACATTATTCCCTGCCATGATGTAAATAGTGATTCTGTAATATTACATTACACAATTAAGTTTTCTTGTAAAATTGACACAAAGCCACAGAGGATCTTTGGGTTTAAGTTGGAGTACCATAATGGAAACAACTACAACAGCAGGCCTCCTATTGCATTATTTCTGGTGAGAGACTTCATTCCACTTTCAGGCCATGCAACAGCCGTTTCCACAATATTCAGGAAAATACAGTATGTGACCTGAAGGAAGCTCAGAACAATATGCAAAGCATGGATAAGCCTTTTTTGATCTGGACCAATGTTATCTCTTTAATGATTCTTACATCATAGTTTAATTACAAAATTTTTACACCATTAAAAACAAAAGTTCTGTATATAATAAGAAAAATTTGTTTGAAAGTACTGTATGCCATAATATACAAATAGAAAGTATAAAAACAAAGCACGCTACTTTAGATGTTAACTCCTTCCTTTGAAACCCAGGAAAATTAACTAATTCCAATATTAGAAATTAATTTTATTGGAATTAGTTAATTTTACCCCCACACCACCCCGTTAAGTACTGTACTGCGGTGTCCCTCAGGACTCTTTTTGTTTAAAACTCGGTTAAAACACGACAACCCTCTTCAAGGAAAGATGTTTAATAATACGGGCATAAGCCCTCTGGTGCTCCTGGCCTTGGTCGGAAATCTCGACCCCTCACGGTCTTTCCATGCAGGAATGGTTTTTCCATTTTAGTAAATAATGGCTAGGGCGATCCAAACCCAAATTGCACCCTAAGAGATGCATCTGCCAGCCAATAAGGCTAGTAGGAGGAACTTGGTGGTTGATAAACCAGGTCCACTGTTCAGGGTTTATGCTTACAGGAAGGGGGTGCTCTTAGTGTGAAATATGGCCAAGCGGGAGGGGTTGGGCCTGCACACGAGCACTTGGTGATGCAATCTGCTTCAAAAACCATGAGGGAGATGTCTCCATAACTTAGTGTGTGGTTGTTAAAAATGAAGTGTATGTAGCACTTGATGGATTCTTGTGCAACTCGGAGAATTGGTTTATACTTGAGACCTTAACTATGACAGCTTTAGCTAATCTAAAAACCTCCCAGAGTGCCCTTAACTCTTGTGAAGGGGTCAGAGAAGCCCCAGCTACCACTAAAGACTCAATGTCGAACATTTCCAAAGCAACACAATGAAAACTACTCTCAGCCAGTAGTAATGCAAGGTCAACATGGTATTACCACCACCTTAGCTCTGCAGAAACCAGCCACTAACAGCACACTGGCTCAAATCAACATTAAATCCCGCAAAATATGAATTTTCTAAAATTGTAGCTTCTTCCCTAAAGTATCATATAGCAGACAGCCTTTTAATAAAGAACAGCAGGGGAGACCATAGCAGGTGTAACTAATGTCAGTTGAGAACAATCTTAGAATTATTGATGGCTCATTAAAAATGTGAGGTACGGATTAGGTAGCTCTTCAAAATTTACCACCTCCCTTAGTTTCAAATCTCATTTTGAGGGTGTGGGAGAGGCAATATTAGCCCTCGCCTGTCAAATGAGGGCATGGGAAGATGGCTGTAATATGTTAGCTGGCCCTTTTTTTTTTTTTTTAAACAAAGGGCCAGAACCTTGCCAAATTCTATTGACCATGAAAATAAGGTGCATATCTCTAGATGATGACAGTAAACTATGTCATATCAATTCAATAAAATTGTGACTAGTTGCATCATATTGGGGGGGGGGGAGGTGTCACTCTGGCAGGAGGAGAGACCCCTTTGCTGAATTGTATGAATGAAAAACAAAATTAGAGGATATTTTTATTTTTCAAGATTTTTATACACCATAACTGTACATAGGAGAATACTAAAACCTGCAACTTCAGGTGCCTAAGAAAACTGAAGTTACAAGAATCAAAAATACTCCATAGGTCTGGAAAAAGAACATTGCTATTGATACTTCAAAGCATATTTACTTATAGCTAATTATTGTCTGTTCACATTGCAGTAATATTTGAACTTAATTATTGTCCTAAATGTCACAACAGTACATGAACTTTATAAGATGGAAAATGCTCCCCAGTAACTATCAAGTCCCTTTGGTAATAGTTTCATGAAATAAGTATTTAAGACATTTTTGTCTAACCTCACATAATACCGTAAAATTTTTAGTTTCTAGACATCGATAGTATACTGTACTTTCAAATATATTTACTCGGAGAACTTGGGAACTGGTGCCCTGTAGGTTGCATAATCCCGAACTGGCGAGTAGAACTGAAAATAAAATAAAACATTAGTTTCATTACCAAAAACTGAACAAGGACTTTTCTAGACCCTGCTCCCAGTTAACTCAATTATAATCACACTTCAACAAACAAATTTATCCTCTTCCAGATTTTACATGTATTCACATAAACTTAATTAAAAAAAAATGTATAATTTACATATAAAATGCACTAGCCTAACAAAGGAAAAGTTGTTAAGTGGCTGTCAAAGTATAATACAATCATTCAACACAAGGAAAAATGTCCTTCATGCATGTTTTACAATGTGAGGGCTGATTTCTAAAGAGATGGAGGTTATACTTATTCCCCAATTGGTGAAATAAATGTGCATCTAAATTACTAGAGCTATACAGTATAATGATACTGCTCCATGCATTCTCATATCTTCAATCTCAAAAATAAAATTAGCTCAGAGGAGTAATGTCCCAAATTTAGAATCCCTTATATTAAATGTGATGTATATGGTCTAATACACATGTTTTACACACTTTGTACTGCTTCTCAGCATATTCCTGCTGGGGTTCTGGGTTGGTGACGCGGTTCCATGTTACATCTGGGTTTCTGGTAGCTAAGCGGAGTGTATAGAAGGCAGCACCCACTACACCAGCACCCACACATACATACAGTGGGATCAACTGTAAATCAGAGATAATTACTCTTCATTTTCTAACAAGATATCGAGTGGAATCTTAAACAGAAAGTTTTGAATGTACACCTTATGGGATTAATGTAAAAATGAGTGAATTCGCCTAAAATTCGTTTGAATACGTGGACAAATAAATTAATCTGCTGGTAATAAAGTAGAAGGCTTAATAACTTGACAACAGATACAAAACAAACAAGACCGTCCTTTGGTCCTTCACACAGGCACTTGACCAACTGTTTTATAGTCTGGTATCAGGCAGTCATTATATACTATGAGTGAGGGCTCTTAGGACCTCAAGTAGCCATGTGACCAGGGCAGCCTCACACCTTTTTATTCAGGAATACGTCCATTGAAATCTCCCGGACTTTGTTTTGGCTTGTATAGTAGAATGGGGTAGATGGGATGCAGCAGCCCTGGCAGGGTTCAACGAATTACCCAAAAATACCCAAATGTACCCAAAAGTATATTAAATCGGAGTAAAATCTTAACGAATATCTGTTATACATACACAAAACATGTCTAATAATATTTTTAGTGTAATTTTGTAAAAATAATTTGTAAGATGAAATAAACTGAAAAACTTTCAGTACTGGCGAACGCTAAATTCCAAAGAGTTCGTGAACAAGGGAGATAACTCAGATCCATCGTGATGCACTTCGCTAACCTAACCAAACCTAACCTAACGAAAAGTAAATTCTACGGCTATGTTAAATACGCCAAAGTAACAGAAACATCGGTAATTATATCTCCATTTTGGATAGGCGACTCTTTGAAATTTAGCGTTTTTCGCTGTTTATTATTTCATTATTTTGACATTTCAATGAAAACATTATTAATCAGGTTTTATTGATGTAAAACATATATTCGTTAAGATTTTACCCTGATTTAATATACTTTTGGGTATATTTGGGTAATTCGTTGGACCAGCCCTGGCACCCTTGTCCACCTTTTCAACACCCAATACACTATAGTGTATACCCAAAACATTACGTTCTTTTTACAATATAGGAACAAAACACGGGCAGTGCTCAACTACACTTCCTCCACTTTTTCAAAACTTACTGTATTATAAAATTATTTTTTTTAATATTTGAAAACTCCTACAAAGCTAGTTAACAATGTTCTCTGAAATAAGTGTCTGCAAAGTGGTTATGATGCAAAAGAAAAAAAGTAAAGTAAAGAACAGGAAACCACATAAAGCGTCTTCCTAACAATACATATCTATACAAGAAAACAATTACCTCAAGAATAAGCCAAATAGTGTTCGACCGTTCTTTACAGATTGATACTGCATCACCGTCTAGGTACAGTAGTCTGCATCCGTGAGCATTTAAGACTAATACCATATATAACTCTCAATAGTGTCTGAAATCTACATCCATACTTACAGCAGGATGCCTTTTCAAACTAGCAGCTGTAATTCCCTGCATTTTGATACTTTCACTAGCAGTTGTTAGACTCCCAACAGCCGGATGAACAATATGGCGAGTATCTGGCTCACAGCTGATCACTAGAAGGCCAATATAATAGAAAGTATAGTACGCATTATCAACGAATGTGGACATGAATATTACAATCCATACATATTTAATGATAAAAGTAATTTTCTAAATCGTTTTATCAAGATTAATTTATATTTTTCATTGGCAACATTTTTAATTGGGTTAAAAATTATGTTTAAAGAGAGAACACTGTACATAAAGAATGTATTAGAAAATAAAAGCCTTATTTTCCTATATACATATTCCTATATCTAATGATATATCAAAGGATTTATGCTAAAAGTTACCTAAAATGTATGTTTGTATTTGTAGTGGACTAGTGGATGACTCTCGCCAGGCGGCTCGTCATGGCATTCATCTCAGATTGGACGCAACTCGGAAATGATGTATTTTACAGGTATAATATATATAGTCTTGTAGTGTGGAATACTTCCTGAACGAGCCTGTATTTTTATGTAGTTATTTAAAAATAAACAACATAATTACCGTAAATTTGGGATATAAGTTAAAGGGTTAGGCTGCTAGGCTAATGAAGAACCGCCCCCCTTGTTAACTTCGGACCAGTAAGATCGACCCATAGCATGTTGGTCCAAACTTGCCAGTAGTTTTCTTGTTTTCAGGTTCGGTTTGGGTAGGTTAGGTTTGGTTAGATTAGATTTGGTTTGGTTAGGTATGGTATGGTTTGGTTTGGTTTGGTTTGGTTTGGTTTGGTTAGGTATGGTATGGTTTGGTTAGGTTTAGTTAGGTATGGTTTGGTTAGGTATGGTATGGTTTGGTTTGGTTAGGTATGGTATGGTTTGGTTAGGTTTAGTTAGGTATGGTTTGGTTAGGTTAAGTTTTCTTAGGTTAAGTTTGTTAATGTTAGGTTTGGTTAGTGTTATGTTCCTTTCTGTTCATAAACTATTATACTAATTTTCTTTGCGTGTATGGTATCATAAATAATCACTTCACAATATATGGTCCAAACTTACTGAAGTTGGGCAAGGTAAGTTCGGTCCTTCTCACAATGGGTCAAATATACTGTAAATCCTTGATAAAATTGTCCATGAGTAATATTTTCCCTGTATTCATTGTACAATAATTAAATTTTATAGTCGTTATTAATGCTGGAGTACGGTATCAGTACTGTAATACGGGTATAGTACTCTAGAATTAGAACAAGTGTACCAGCAACTTTAAAAAGTTTGTGTATCATGATAACTTCATTTTGGCAATCGTGAAAAAGAATATTCTGCTTATATATATACCATCTAAATTTGTACATGAAATATGATTTGGTTTACAGTACAAGAATATTTGACTTTAGATTTACTGCTCTAATGGACAGTCCAGTATTTACCTTTTTCTGCGTATTAAGAATTGTGGTGAATGTTGCAGGAAGTATGAACTTTATACCATGGAGTGGGGCGGAGGCATCAACCTGGGCGACTTCATGGTTGCTGCAGCACAGTATGGGGGTCCCTTGGCTCTGACTCGTGATGAAACTAAATTCACCAAGACTCAACATGCAGGCAAACCTCTGATATTTATCTTCAGCTCCTCTGGAAGGAAAATTTCTTCATTTAAAGTAATTGAAATACAGGTTGTACCTCTCTAGTCCGGTATTCTGTGGTCCGGAAACTCCCGTGGTCCGGAACGATTTTAGTTTGTCCAATAGGTAGATAGGCAGCTTTTTTTTTTTTTTTTTTACTTATCTGAATTATTATTATTATTACAGGAGTATTAAATTTTTGCCCCTCAGGCCCCAATGTGGGTCAGTGACCTATCCCGGGTGGGCTAATCCCCTTAAAAAAAAAAACAAAGCCGCGGGAAATTAAGGTTTGTTTACATCCGGCAGTTCGGCTGCTCTCTCTCTCTCTCTGCTTGTCTATACAGAGTACAACATTTAACCCTTCAATATATATGAGCAGTAAATAAGTGTTGCTTTCATATTCTTATGTAGAGTAATGACGATATATTTTCACATGTGCGCACTTACATACGAGCAGTCTCACTTTTTTTTTTACCATTAATGGTTAGCTACTTATATTGTTCCATTTATTAACATTAAATAACATTACAGGTACTTCAAGCAACCATATTCATATTTTACATTAATTTTACTACAGCTAAACTCAGGGTCTTATTTTCTTCAGTTTTATATGTAGAACCAGTCAGTCACTGGTTTTGTAATCAACGAAAACAATGCTGTGTCATTTCCTCATGTGTTTTAAACGTATTATTAATGAATTGTATTGCTCATTTTGCACACAAACATTAATTCAATAAAAAGACATTCAGTAATAAACAATAATGAATTTTGTACATAAGAGAAATGACGCTGTTTACACGATTATGCACGTCGTCTGCACGTTGGCGGGCCGTTCAAACCCGTCGAAATTCAAGTTTCCGCCGTCAAAATTTTTATTTATTTATTTTTTTGTGTGTTCCAATAAAATACGTTAAGAATTAAAAACTCGCGAAATTTGAGAAGCTACTATACGACATTTAACCCTTCAATATGTCTTAAAAGAGACCATGACGCAGAGAAAGTGGTGCTAGTGCTTCCAGGCATAAGCACAAGTCACTATCTATCCAGGAAAAGGGTGAATTTCCATGGTCCGGCACCGGTCAGGTCCCGAGGTTGCCGGACTAGAGAGGTACAACCTGTACTACTACAATCTTTTTAAGCTTCATATATGACACTGTAGTAATGTTAAAGCTGACTCATAAAAGATTTTTTTTAAGATTTCACTTGACCTCTGGCCAAAAAACTCGAAAACTTTTTTATTCACATGCACTCAACAATTCATTGCATCAATCACCAGCATACAAATTGGCTGTTCCCTTAACTATAGTATGTTAATTTTTTTACATTTTTAGCTTGATCATTGCTTTTGCTGCTTATTTTCAGGCAATGGGGAATGATAGCCCTGATATGTTAATTATCTGCTTATGCTGCAATTATTTCTTCTTTATCTCAAAGTGCATCGCAAATCAACATGCTATATCTAGGGGATACTGTACGATATATGTTAGGGGACATGATGTTAAAGTCAAGTCTTAACCTTAACCCTCACATGAGGGTCCTAAAGGCATGTAGAAAATAATTAGACTAATGTTCACTAATTATTGTCAGCCTTATATTTTGTGAATTTTATTCAGTGTTCATATGTGTGCATTTGTATTTATTTACAGTTGACTTCTTCTTTTGGGATTGATATTAACAGTAGCATTTTGGTTTTCGAAATAGTGGACTAGTGGATTCCTACTATCACTGGGCTGGTCACGGAGTGAAGACCTTGTATGTGTGCAAGAGGATGGTGCAGTATCCATCTATGATATGTTTGGCACCTATCAACATACCTTCAACATGGGACAAGTAAGACTGCTTAAAATTTTTCTTTTACTCTATGATATTAAATATTAATAATGCACATAATTATTGTGCTGTTATAAAGATGAATAATTTAATACTCCATCTACTGTGTTTCCAACTGTGTACTGTACATATTCTGTATGTACTGTGCTTTCGTAAAATGATTACTGGTACCATCTCCTAAATACAGTAAATCCATTCCAGTCAATGAGGTTACATTTCCACTGACCATGTGGAATATAAATATGTATTTCAAATCATTTGTGATGATGATAGAACTGGCGTTAGTGTCCATAATCCCAGTACAGTACTGTATTACCATAATGCTCACTTAACATCTCCAAGACAACACTTGATAACCAAATCTTGAAGAAGTAAAACAGTGAGTTATAACTGTTTACTTTTTTGTACTGAATTCTTCTATAAACTAACTTTGACTGAGTACCATATTTACAAAATTTTCTCTTGTTCCTGAATTCAATCATGACACTAAAATACATGTACAGTAAAAATAGGAACATCAAACCTGGTGTTGTAGGTCCTTGATGGCCAGACAACTTGGTGCACCCTCATTCACCTCATTGCTAGTCATTACTGTTCTTCATAGTTGGTATGGCAGCAGTGGTTTTCCCACATCCTCTTTCTAGCTTATAGATAAAAAGACTAAAATAAGAAATCCCATTTTTGAGTAAAGGCAAGAAATTGGTGATCTGGTTCCCTGCCTTCATCCATAAGTAGGGCTGTAAATTGGCAGGAACTGAGGGTTCTTTAATATAAACTTATTAAGGACAAAGGGGGTTCAAAGCACATGCAACTAGAACTAGATCTTTGGTATGAACCCAGTGACCTGAAAATTTACTGGCCTTTCAGACAACTACCACATCAAATGGAATTGAAACTTTGACCTAAGTTTGGCTTTGGGAGAAAGTTTCTTTGTAGCTAAAGTTTTATCCTTACAGATAGAAGCTCCAGCAGCTTGATGTCTCAAACCCTACAGAAAAGGGATACTCAGTCAGAGGAACTTTTCAGGCATGGATCTCTCAGGTCACTTACTTCTTCTTACAGTCATAAAATAGATTTGATTCTTCAATTTTTAATGTTTCTTAGTTAACTAATATTAATTCATGGTGTCCACAGGAAGTAAAGGATACCCATATCCAGAGTGCTCAGATCTTCACTAGCCACAGAGAAACAGGAGTAGCCATCTTAAGTAAATCTAATCGCATATTCATGGTCAGCAATATATACGAACCAAAGACCAGAAAGTACCCAGATATTCCTGGTAAGTGAATGGGTGCTTGTTTTTTTCTACCAAGTATTAAGTATGTTGTGGATATTCTTTTAATTTTATAGTGAAGGTTATAATTATTAGTTATAGTTGTTCGACCATAATTGTTAATTTATTTCTAGAATGATTTGGAGAAAGCTTTATGTACTTTACATATGTTTACACATGTTTTGATCGTGGCTCTTTCCGTAAAATGAGAGAGTTGACCTTGAATGTTCCAGGGGTGACACATCTTCCCACACTTTACTTTGTTGGTTTCCTCTCATTCCTTATCTTTAGTCTCAACACTTCATCCAACTTTCATTAGTGTTTTGTGCACTCATTATGTCATCCTGCCTTCCTTACTTTTTGTATGTGTATAAGTTAAGAGAACTCATGGTTTGATAATGTCTCTCTTTTGCATATTTGTGAAATGGGCAAAAATGTTGCATTTAGCTCAACTTCAGAAATGCTGTGGATATTTTTTGCATATTTCTCTAAACACTGTCCTGTATATATAATTTTATGATACTTTGTCAACTACTTTTTGTGTTATCTATAGTCATCAAGGCTCATTGTTCCACAGTTTGTCCTGTATCTTTCCCCTTAATATCTAGGCTTCGGTTCACGTCATATGATGCGTGCGTACAGGGCTTCAGTTCATATCATTTGATGTTTATAATTTCATGGTACTGTTTGAATTGCTACATGGGCTTGGCTAGGTGTTGTCAAGTAGGTATTTATCTTTCACTCACTTACATATGCAAACCTCTCAGTCTCCCTTCTCAGTAGCTTCTCAGCTTTTGTGAGGTAGGGATCTCGCTCTTAGACTTCATGGGCCTCACCACTGGTTTCTACCCCCAAACCCCCAAATACAAACGTAGTAGAGGACTCTTGATGACCGAAACATTGGTCTGTCAGAAGCCTTGGTTTTTTAAGTTTCCTGTGTACATTTTATTGGTTTACTTGGTTCCCAGATATGTTTAGCCTGACCTGTATAGACTGTATACTGTACATTTCTTCTTTGGGGATGCTGTCATATACTGTATTGTCTTTGCTGGACATAGAAGTCATCTACTAATTGGTGCTGTGCAATGCAAAGGCTTGACTTGGAGGAATCCACAATGACTCCAGATCTAGTCAGTGAGAATGTTGTTCTGACCTATAATAACTAGGATCAATTCTGACTTTGATAGGTTCCATCTGTTAACTCCTGGAGCTTTTGTAGCACATCCTTCTCTCTGTTCTAAATTTGGATTACACTGAGCCTCCGAGCAGAGGACATTAAGCCAGAAATAAGAACTTGTCCTGAAATCCTATTTTTTCTTGTGGACCCAGTACAGTATCTAGATCAAAATCACCCCTTTCTCTCTTGGTGAGTTTCTTTATTGGAAGGAAGATGTGAAAATTGTTGTAAGTGTTTAGCTTTCAAAGCAACCACAAAGCCAGGGTTAGAACTTCTTTCAGAATCCTGGTTTCACTGAGTGATTTCATATTTCATTCTTTGTTTATTCACCCATTCAGGTGGTGTAGTGGAGTGCTGGTGTGTTGTCAGGGAAGAACGCCACACAAATGTTTTAGTTAGCCAGGGTCGTGACCTTCTCCTCCTGAACCACATAGAACAACGTCCTCAGCCTTTGGTAAGCTACAATTATTTTTCACATGTTGGTGTTTGGAAACTTAAGTTGTATATTGTCTCCAGGGTTGGATGATATGTACTTTTAAACTAATATGACTCCAAGAGTTCAAGAGAATGGCAGCATACTTTGATGGAGTTCACAAGGGAAAAATGGTGAAAAGAGCAAGTGCCTGTGTCTTGTTACTATAAATGGAGAAAACTGGAGGTTGTGAATTAATTAAAGAATTTGGGAGCATTCATCATCAATGAGGAAAATGGAAAAGCTGTAGTCAACAATAGAGTAATACAAGGAAGAAGAAAAGATGGGGCCAAGAGAAGACTGATTAATGAAATGAGTCTGCCTAAAGAGTGCACAAGGGAAACCCATGAAGGAGTTTGTGTTCAAGCTCTTTTAGATACAGTAGATGTAAAATTCTGGTATTTCAGAGTAGTTACAGACTGAGAATGATTGCATTGAAGATGGTTATATTGAGAAGCATAATGACAATTTGAAGTATTAATAGAGAAAGAAATTAAGGTATGAGAAGAGTGTGTGTAGTCAGAATGTCACAGGAGAGTTGAAAGGATGAGAGCACACTAAGTTGGTGTAGAAGGTATGACAGCATGCCTGAAGTCAGAGGAGTGAGCTAAAAAGCAGTAAAAGAGACGGATGGACAATACTGTACAGTTATAAGTAAATTAGTGAGGTCTACAGGGTCACGTAAATGGCCAGTGATTATAAACTGTGTAATTGTTTCATTTGTAAGAGTGATAACATGAGTGAATCTGAGCTAATGTGAAACCTTGTAAATTGTTGTGGATGTTAATGTCTCACTTTGTATGCTGGATATGCTTGTTGAGGATATGACAAAGTGTATATTGTTTTAACCCCTTACTGTTGCCTTCCACTCTTACCTTCTCCAGCATGACTCATTATTTTGCCCCTTATTTGAGTTTTTTTCCCCTTGATCCACCTCACACAGGAGAGAAAAGAAACAATAGTAGTAAATAGATATAATTGGATTCTTACCAACTAAGATATTTCTTCTTCTTAATTGTAGTATCCAGAATGGAATGAGGCAGGTGGATGTATTGTGGAAATGGCTGTCTCTACAAATTCTCGTCACATAGCCCTTCTCTCTGATACTGGCAAGTTGTGGATTGGCTCTTCAGATATCCGGATTAAATACTGCGAGTATGATGCCAAGAGTCAGGTCAAGCCAAAACAGCTTGCTTGGTGAGTATATTTATATTTGATCTAATAATTATTTACCTGTACCTGTCTGACCTTGATTGCTATTGCATCCCAACAGGATAAACCCAAAAAATTTTACACATTAATATAAAAAAAATTACATGTTTTTCTGGGTATTTTGTATACGTATTTTTTTCTTTTTTTGTGTGTGTAAGAAATGGGGATCCCTGCCATTAGGGAATATGACAACAGCACTAATAATATTAAAAGGTGAAAATAGAAGGGGTAAGTATACAAATACCCTCAGTAAAGAAGGGACTGTGATGCCATGTGGTGTAAAGGTCAGCATCCTCGCCTCGCAAGTGAGTTGACCCGAGTTCGATCCTCGGGCAGGGCGAAACTATGGGCAAGTTTCTTTACGCCATTTGCCTCTGTCTACCCAACAATAATTGGAAACCTGGATGTTAATCGACTTGCGGATTGTATTCTGGGGTAATGGTTAACTAGTACAGTTGGCGAGTTGTCCTGTCTTTTCGGACTATTCCTTGACACTGGGTCATGCAGCTCGTTAACTTAGGGTGTGGTTGTTGTGTGGGCGACAGCTTCTACACCAAACAAACTCACGCCTAGGTGGCCCTTGGGCCGGTCATCCTCGATTTCGAGGGGCTTCCATTATTATTATTAATACAGTAAAGTCTTGAATTTACTGTCCTTTTTCAATTCTTGATATTTCTAATGGGACCTTCTCTGGTATGTAACTTTGATACATAGGATACAAATTGGTGGAAAACTAAGGACAAAATGGAAAGTAAAATCATGTATGAAACCTGAAAACACAATAAAGGAGTAGTTTTGGTTATGTTAAGTTTAATTGGTTTGTGTTTTCTGCTTAGTAAATGGTGTTTAATCTTCTTTTCTCTTTGTTCTACCAGTGAGATATCATTCCGTACATGAAAAGAAACATATCAGTGAAGATCCCAGCATGAAATATCAATAAAAGGGAAACGTTCAGCTGAATGTTTCCTCCCTGCTGTTTAGGTTAGGTCAGGCACGAGATCAGGATGGGTGTAATTTGCAAATGTCATTAGATTATTTTACTCATTTGCTTTGTTCGACCCTTCATGAGACAAGACACATAGTATTACTGTCCCAAGTGTGATGGGAGCCTCTGTTTCCAAGTACTTCCAAGACTACCACACAATGAAAATGTACTAATCTGATTACCCATTATGTACTACATATGGCTACTGTAGTTATGGATATATTATTACATAGTATGTGTTTTGGCTTAATCAGAAGTGAGTACAGAGCTATAACCATCAAATATATACACAGGATATGTATGTACAGTACTGTATATACAGGCAGCCCCTGGGTTACGTACTAGTTCCATTCCTACAGACATTCTTAAGCCAAACCACATACCCTATGTGCATACTGTACTTACAGAACAATGTCTAAAATCCCACTGTATCATAGCCTAAGTCCTTTTATATATATATATATATATATATATATATATATATATATATATATATATATATATATATATATATATATATATATATATATATATATATATATATATATATATATATATATATATATATGCAGTATTACCCCGCTTTACGCAGTTTCACTTAACGCGATTTCTCATATACGTGGTGCCTCGCCAGAACCGAACTTTCATTTAACTCGGTTCATCTACTCATATACGCGGTGAAGTATAATTTTTTATTTTTTTTATTTAGCTCATAAAATTCATACAAATTACCCGGCCAGAATATAATTTACATTGCTGGAATTCTTACAATATGATGATCATTTTGAATATAAACATCATAGATTTTGCATTAGACATACAAATTTTAGATATAATGTTTACTCTGAGTAAATATGTTATTTTTTGTGCAAAATATATGACATTTGTATTCAAAATATTCCTGTCTTACAAGGAATCCAGCAATATCAATTATATTATCCTAACTTTAGTTTGAGGTATTATTTATTAAAATCTAGTGGTTTTCCACCCAAAATTTCTCAGAGGGAAGAGCCAGCAGTGTAGTGTGAGAAGAGGGGGAGGGAGTTGAGTCCATTATTTGAATGGACATTAACTTGGCGACTGTATTTCTCTATTTCTCTTAAGTATTAATTGTGTGCATGTACCATCATAAAATTAAGATGTTATTTTTACTAGAACATAGGTATTGTGTCCGAAAAGTGGAGTTTGGGAATTAGGGCCGGTCTATTGGAATTAATCCCATATGTTCTGTTGTTCCATTTACGCAGATTTCACTTAGCAGCGGTACCTGTGGGTTCAATTGACCCAGCGTAAATTGGGTAATACTGCAATATATATATATATATATATATATATATATATATATATATATATATATATATATATATATATATATATATATATATATATATATATATATATATATATATATATATATATATATATATATATATATATATATTATATATATATATATATATATTATATATATATATATATATATATATATATATATATATATATATATACATATATATAAAATATATATATATATATATATAATATATATATAATATATAATATAATGCA